CACATCCCCTCCAAATCCCAGAGCGCCCCCCCAATGCCCCACATCCCTGCCCCATACCCCGGGCACCCTCCCACAGCCCCTCCCCATGTCCCTCTATTATCCTGTCACCCCAGCCCCATACCTCCCCTGGGTCCCCGCCCCTGGCTCAGGGACTCGCCTCTTGTCTCGGGTGGAGACGCCGCGCGCTCCCGCCTGGGGCTCCCCGTCGCTTTCTCAGCCCGCGCACGCACGCGCGCTCCCCCGGCTCAGCTCCCCCGGCGCGCCCCCGCTCTCCCCTTTGTGGCCCCGGGGCGCTCCCGGGGTGGGACTGGCCTGCGTCGAGCCCCGGCCCCTGCGAGCGGCCGCGCCGAGCGGGGGCTCTCGGGACGGCCCGTGCCCGGGGCCAGGTAGGTGACGGTCGGGGGGTTCGGGCCGAGCTGCTCGGGGGCCGGGGAAACTTTCCCAGCGCCCGCGAGAGCCCCAGGCTCGGAGCGAGGGACCCCGCGGGGCGGGGCGGGGCGGGGCGGGCCCGGGGAAGGGGGCGCTGCTCCGCCAGCAGCGGGGCTGAGGGGCACGGACCTGCCCCGGCAAGGGGCCAGGCCTGGGAGCGGCCCCCGCCCGATGTGGGCTGAGGGGGCCCAGCCGGGCACGGCCAGCGCCGGGGAGGGGCTGTGCGGGCCGGGGCCTGCTGGGCTGAGCCCGCGGCGGGACACCCCCCGGCCTGGCCTGGCCTGTCTGCGCCCCGCGGCACGGCCCTGAGCAGAGGGGCAGCAAACGCCCCCCCGGGCCGAGCAGCGCCTGTTGCGTCCCAGAAAACAGCCGCCGACCGTCCGTGGCCGCCAGGTGGCTGCGCCGAGCCCATCCCAGCGTCAGACAAAGCCAGGTCCCGCTGCGCCGCGCCGCGCCGCCGAAAGGGGCAGACGCGAGGGGCGGGGGCAGACATGTCCCCGTTTGCAGGCCCAGCCCGTGTCATGGCCGTGCAGATGAAAACCCCGCCGCCAGGTCTGCAGCGTTGAGCAAGGAGAGGGTGCCCGAGACAAACTTCTGTAGCGCTCTCACCATTTACCTCCGCCCCTAATCGATCATCATTTTAACGGGCAGGCCCCCTGTGCAACGTACAGGACTATATGAATGCAACAGTTGTAATGTACTGAGTACTGTAGTGTGTGAGGTATAGCAAGCACTGTGCCCTGCTAAATGCAATCAGAGCAACACCATGTTAGTACTGATGATCAAGGAGTACTTGTGTGTGGAAAAGACCTGTCATTCTGAAGCAAAAGTCCTCAGTTCTAGTCCCCATATTTGTTTTGCTGGCAGCTGGGGTGTATATGTATCATACGCAGCCACGCGTTCACGATACCGTATGCGTACACTATCATGTGCTGCCTAGGGCACCAAAGGAAATTAACTTGGAATTGATATATTTCCAAAATAGTATAATTTGTTCCAATTATTTATCTCTCTCCTTTTGTTTTTGCAGAAACTGTAAAGGGGAATGTCTTACTGCCTCAAGTCAGAAAGCCTTTTGGATACAGGCCCAATATATGTGCGTGAAAATGGGCACCTGTATATGGTAAATCAGGGTTCTGGCACTGTAAAAAATGCCACTCCAAAACCAAGGCCTTTTAGACTATTTTCCAAAGGATTCTCTGTGGAGCTTTGTATGAACAGAGATGATGACAGTGCAAGGAGAGAGAGAACAGATCATTTCATCTTTACTTATACTAAGGAGGGGAATCTCCGGTACTCAGCCAAGTCTCTCTTCGGCCTAGTGTTGGGTTACATTTCTGACAATGTTGATCATATTGATTCGTTGATTGGCTTTCCAGAGCAGATTGCTGAAAAGCTTTTTTCTGCTGCAGAAGCAAGGCAAAAGTTCACAGAACCAGTTACAGGACTCAGAGCACTACAAAAATTTACTGAGGCTTATGGAAGTCTGGTGCTTTGTTCATTATGTTTACAGAATAGGTAAGTGCATTCAGTAACATAAATGTGTGAGGCTCTGCCAGTGTTTTTACTTAAGTGTTTCCATTTTTTTACTTAAATATAAACAGTTCCTTGATTTGGATTATTAAATTATATTTGTTCATTCCATAAAGTATTGTTGGTAAATAGCATTTGGTTTAATTCTTGTATCTGTAATGCAAAACCCCTAATACTGCCAGTTAATCCTCCAAATCCACACGAACACATTCTGCAACCTGAATTGAAGGATAAAACCTGCAGCTTTATTTTTAACATGCTAACACTTAGGACTTGTATGGTGCTTTAAAACCTAATCCTCAGAACATACCTACCTTATTGTCTGCAGGATAGTTTTAGCCATGTCAGTCCCAGGGTATTAGAGAGACAAGGTGGGTGAGGTAATAATATCTTTTATTGGACCTTCTGTTGGTGAGAGAGACAAGCTTGTCTAACTTACCTACCTCACAGGGGTGTTATGTTAATAATTAAATTGTTTCTGAACTAATAAAAACCCTTTTCTGTAAGCATTTCAACATTTATTTTGACTTGTATAGCAGCAAAACGTTCTAGCACACAGTCCCACTGGGAGGTTCCATGTCTACTATTGCATTTCGTTTTAAAGGTATCAGTACCACAAGGTATAGGGAAGAAAAGGATAGTCTTGTAATTATATCACAGGTTTTGAAGTCAGAAGACTAGTACTACATTTTATTAATTATTATTTGTATCTAGATGTGTTGCATGCCCTCCATATTAAATACACCTTGACCAGGGATGTTCTCCCTCTCCACTCTTCTCTGGACAAGTTCTAACTCAACAAGAAACATTTCTCCTTACAAGGCTTAAAATAGGATTATACCCCTCTAAAACCTTGTCCCTGGTGAAGTACCTTCCTATGCTATAACAATTTAGGGGGTTTTTTTTGGTACATTCACACAGTTTATGGACTTCTCAGTCCTTTAAATATGAATCAGTATAAATCAAAGCATATAGGCACATCATTCTTGGATGCCAAAGGTGGCATGAGCAATATAGGAAAGTTTTAATAAAAAACATCACATGTACCAGGTGTCACTTCATCCTCCGAATGATCAAATTTTTTGCCAGTCTACTCGTGAATTGCCCTTTTCGTGGGTGAAAGATGGCTTCTGTTGTAGGATCCTTGTGTTCTCTTTATTTCACTAATCAAGGTTTTTGTCTATGGCCATGAAACGTCAGTTTTACCATTTGGCAAGCAGTGCTGCTGGAATTAGACTGATATAGCTTGAGATCTAGACATAATAGCTGTCTTTGCAAGTTGAAGTTACTGGTTACAGAGCAAGTACTTTTTGAGTCAGATCTGAGCCACAACGTTGGTATAAGACATTGAGTAAGTACTTGAGCATGTGTTCCACATGGACTGCAGCCTGGGTAGATAATGAAGAGACTGTGCTCATTTGGGGCATTTTTCACATGGCAGAGAGTAAGCACCTTCTAGGACTATACCTCTGGTGCATCTAAACATTGATAGCTTTCTGCTCTTTACAGATATCTGGTTATTTCTGAAAAACTTGAAGAAATTAAGTCTTTCAGGGAGCTGACCTGCTTGGATCTTTCCTGTTGTAAACTTGGAGATAACCATGAATTGCTAGAACATATCACCAAAGAAGCTCTGTCTAGGTACCAATTTATTTATATGTATAACTGACCAGCATTTTCTTTTCCATCACCAAGAAATTCACAGAATCACACTGTCTCTTTAAAGGAAAGTTTCACAGGCAACAAGCACTTTTATTGGGGTTTTTAGTTGTTTATAAATTCTCTTCTTCAGGTGAAAAAAGTATACATCAGAACTAATAAAACAAATTGCATGATACCAGGCATGTACTGAGTCTTTAGACATGATCTACAATTATGAAAGTTGAAATAAAAGTACTCTACTATCCAACATAAAGACCAATTGTTTTGTATATTTTTCATTTTCTGTTTATAGTATACACTCATTATTGCAAAACTTAATTTCCAACTGCTGTAGACTTTCCCTATTAAATTTGCTTATTGATTTTTTGGGAGAAAACTTTATCAAAATAATCATTTTAACTGAATCAGTATGTCAGCATGAGACATTCCTAATTTACATATTTTGTCCAGTATGTGTTTGCTAAAATGTTTATATAACAGTCTTTTCAAGCTTCCAGAGATCTAAAAGGTAGAATATTGTGGAACTTTATTAGATGGGTTAATTGTGTTTGTTAATTAATAACTGTTGTTACTACATAAGACTTCCATGCATTTGATTCAAGGTTGTGTTTTAAAGGGATGCTGTGGAAGTATATCTATAAATTTTGGGGGATTTCATTTATTCTTCTTTGCAACCCTTCCTTGTATCTCCTACCAATTTTGTCCTTTCCTATATGTCAAGCAAGGATTTTCCTTCTCCAGTTTTGAATGGGGTTGAAATTGACAAGCCTAATTGTCCTTAACTTCAAGTTACAAAGAATCTTATTGCCTGTGTCATCAAGCTGTTGTGTTCTAGTGTTGCCTGTGTCAGTGAAATTTTGGCAATAGTTTGTTAGGTAATTACTTCAGCAGAGCCTTCAGAGGGAACAGGGAAAATACCAGAGGCCTCTTGTTTTATTAGTCCTTTTAATATCAGCAAAGGAGTGGTAGATTGAGCAGGTGTTAGGGGAAGATTCACAGGAAATGCTAACAATTTTACTAAAAACTTTGAAATTATTCCTTTATAAACTAACTTTACATTCCTTATCCTAGTGTAACTCGGCTCCTCCTGAAGGATAATTGTTTGTCAGATGCAGGCCTTCGCAAAATGACAGCGCCAGTTCGAGTGATGAAAAGGGGACTTGAAAATCTTTCTGTATTAGATTTGTCTTGTAAGTATGTCAAAGTGCCCCAATTTACATTTAGAAACACATAGTTACTTCTCATCTAGGGTTCCTCCTAGTTAATATTGAAAGGAAACAATTGTTCAAAATTAGCTCCAACATCAGGAGTCCAAAACAAGGACTTCATTGACAGCTTGCCAGAATTCACATGTTGCACCTATAGCCTTATCCTGCTGCACCGAAGTCAGTGAAAGCAGAAATCAGGCCCTTGATTGGCATAAATACACCATTTAAATGAACGTTTATGCATTCCAAAATGGAACTTGAACTAGTCAATATCCAAGCTGAGTGACTCAGCACTGAATTTATAATCTAAGTTTTGTATTTTACTACTAATAAATATGACATGAACCTGATAATATCATCCTTTGTCTAGTCTTTCTGCTAGGGTGGGGACTATTCAACATGTAAACTTTTTACACAGAGAACAAGACTAAGGTGACCATCATCTTAGTCTCAAATACAACATCAAAAGAAAACTTTCCGAACTTGACATTAACAAAGGATACTGATTATCGGTGGAGCTCACAGCACTAGCTGTTATGAAGGTTGCCTGTCACTTCCTATAATGTGATCTCAGTTGCTTATAACTTTACCAAACTTTATCCATTTGGGGTGAAATATTCTATGCTCGGTGTCTGATTTAGGCTGATTGATTCTGGCTGAAGTTTTCCAGAAGAATTCAGCCATTTCCAAGAACAAGGCTAGGAAAAAATGTTGTTTTGCCCATGTTAAAAAATTCTGGCTACCTGTGCTTTGAAAAGCTCTATCACCTCCATGCTCTGGAACAGGGACCTGAAATTTGGAAGATGGTGGCCTTTGAGGGATGTGCCTTTTGCTGACCATGTTGAAAATCTGCCCAAATTTTGCCAAGTTATAAGCCTTAGAAAAGTCCAGTTTGCACATGCTCACTAGACACTTTTTTTTAGATTTTAGCAGTTAAATTCCCTACAATTGCATCTGTGCTGAGCAGAACCTTCCCTGCAATTGCAGCTTTGCGCCATGCAGGGTCTAAGCACCTGAAGTGAGATCAGGGAGTCTGTTTCCCCCGTGCTCTCAATGCTGCCCCCACTGGACCAGGCAGTATGAAGGAGGAAGCTGCCTGATTAAATTTTTTTTTCTATTTTGCTTTTTTAGGAAACCTAAGAAATTGCATACAAAATGCTACTTTAAAAACACTTCAGGTTGCAAAGTCAAGCACTCAAAACTTAGCCTTAATTCTGATGTTTCCCGTCTGTGTAACCCTAATTTGGCCCCCTTGTGAGTATGCAATATGATAGTCTTTAATTACATGAGCACTTACTATTTTTTCCCCACAGCACCCCTGCCTCATTCAGTGCACTGCATGGACCTGCTCTGGGAATGAGTCAGGGTTGTATTTTGAAAGAGACTGATGATGGTCGGATCCCTGCTTCATTTGCAAAAGTTGGATGATGTGTAGTTAATGAGGCAGGAGGCTACAGAAAGAGAAGGGACAGTCTCTCAATTAAGGTAGTTGATTACTGTGCTGGAGAACTGGATTCTGTTCCTGTGTGATAATGGGCAAGATGTGAAAAGTCTGACTTTTCACAGGTGACTATTTATTTGCATGTTCCTCATTTTCTGGGTGCCTGACCTGAGACCCTGGTGACCGGCTTACAGAAGTGCTGAGCATTCACAGCTACAACTGAAGTCACTGGGAGCTTTGACTAGATAAAGTGCTATATAATGCTAAATAGTTTGACATCAGGTCCTAATTGTTTCAAATTAGCCACTCAAAATGCGTGGATACTTTTGAGCTTAATCTCTGTGCCTCAGTACTTCATTTGTAAAATGTGGATAATAATTCCCCCTCTTCTCACAAGGATGTTGTGAACATTAACAAATGTGTGAAGCACTTACACTATTGTGATAAGTGCCATAGAAAAATATTTCTGTCTTCAGAATAGGTTTGAATATTATGCAGTAAATAAAGTATAGGCCACACGTTGAACAACAAGGAGAAAAGAAAATATTGAATAGTTGCTCATTAAGTGAGCAGCCTCCATTCCATGCACTAAATGAAAAATATGCAACCATGTAATTAAACACTGGCTCATAATGCATACACCTCACGGGACTGCATTAAGGTTGCATAGGCAGCCTCAACCCTGGCATTTCCTATCTTTTGGTGCTTGACTTTGCAACCTTACATTAAAAGAACATTAGTTTTCGTGTGCAATAAATGTGTATTTACATATGCACAAGTATGGCTTATATATTTATAATGCTTAACCTAATTGAAGCTGTCTATGAAAGCTTAATTTTGCTCTGAAGAGAAAAAAATCAGTTTCAAATAACTTTCAAAACATGGAGCATGTTAATATAAATGTGCCGGAATAGCTTATTCCCTTGGTAAATATTTTATAATTGGTTGCTTGCTAGTATAACATTTGTATTGTCCTTTTTCCCACACCTACATTTTAATACTTAAAAAAAAAAAAAATCGGTTTTGCAGAACACACCTATATAGTCATGCAACTTAATCTAACCTTTTGATTTTATAGGTAACCCTGAAATCACTGATACGGGAATTGGGTACCTTTTTTCTTTCAAGAAGCTGAATTATTTGGATATTTCTGAAACAGGTCTCAAGGTAAAACAGAATTTCCACCCAAGTCTGTTACATATATACAGCATGATCAAATGCTCTTCTACAGTGTCTGCTTTATATCCTTTTTTCACCAGGATGTTAAGGCAGTCATTCAGAGGCTTCAGACCCAAATAAGCTTAGTTCATTCAAAAGTGCCTCTGAAAGAATTTGATCATAGTAACTGCAAAACAGAGGGATGGGCAGAGCAGGTATGTTCTTTTTTTAAAAATTTTTTTACCAAACCAAGTATGTGTCCTTTTCAGTCACAAATCATTTCACATCACCCAGTGAGGTTCTATATCTTTTTAGTATTTCATTCTGAGAAAACAGATGTTATAAAGAGCTTAGAGAATGAACATGTTCTTCATTCTTACATGCCCGAGGAAGTATCCAGAGGTTGCATTGACTGCTGACAGCCAGGATCAAACCTAAATTTGCAGAGAATAAAGCAGAGTGCAGGTATTCTCACTTTGTCAAATAATGTGCTCAGACTGTTAAGTCTGTGCGTGCACCCAGTGAGGCCACTTGAAGCAAAATGAAGCATTGCATGCTGGAGCTTCTGTATGGGCAGCTTTAAGCTGCATTAGAGACCTCTGAGCCACATTTGGATGGTACGGCACACTTTGTTTACCCTTCTGTTAGGGAAATTACAACTGCAGGAATTTCATTGTCACAGATTGGGGTATATCTATACTGCAGAGACCGTATTGGCATAGCCACATCCCTATAGCTATGCCAGCATAACTGCACAGTGTAGACTCAGCAACTGAAGGGGTTTTGCAGTGGTATAGAAACATCACCTCCCTGAACAACGGTAGCTAGGTTGATGGAAGTATTCATTGACATAGCTGAGTCTACCCTGGGGTTAGGTTGGCATAGTGACGTCTGTTGGGGCGTAGTTTTTTCACACCCCTGACTGAGATAGCTATGTTGATCTGACTTCTAAGTGAAGACCAAGTCT